AAAAAAAAAAAAAAAAAAAAAAAAAAAAAGGAATGGACTACCAGACTTCGCATGAGGCAAACACCCGAAACAAAACCAAAAAACAAAAAAACAGAAACAAAACCAGAATGGGGTACGGGACTTCAACTGAGGCGAAGGGAAGCTACCAAGGGAGAGAGGAAGGATGATGATAGCAGGCGACATGGAACCCTCAGGTTGAAAAAAACGTGCTCTAAGGTCAAAAACGATGGCGCCAGAGTCACAAGGCACCACCACTATAATGATCCCCGATTTCAATCCGGCTGCGTGCCCGGCTCATATCGCGTACTATTCTTTCGCCTTTTACCACCCCCTTTTCAAAAAAAAAATAAAAAAAACAACCATTACCCCCCCCCTTTTCGAAAAAAAAAAAAAACAACTACACTATATTCTTCTCTCAATTTCACCTTTTACTAAAGAATACCGCGGGCTGAAGAAGGGGGCCGCCGGGCGCCGGGCAAATCCCCGATTTCCCCAGAGTTTTCTCTCTTCCTTTTTTGGCTTCAAAAAGGGCGACGGCCTTCCGTAACTCGTAAGTTACTTTATTCCGCCAGGATTCGAGCTCAGGTCTGCTTATCGACAGTTATTTTGATCTACCATTCAGCTGCATGGGCTGATCCCCCAGAGGTCATAGCCGCGGCATCATGCTCAATTTCAAAGAATAGGGCCCCAAAAAAATAAATCCGTCCTCTCTCTCTCTCTCTCTCTCTCTCTCTCTCTCTCTCTCTCTCTCTCTCTCACACACACACACACACACACACACACACACGCAAACACGCGCGCGCAAACAGACGGTGTCGTATTGGTATTGATAAAAATTAAGAAGAAGAAGAAGAAGAAGAAGAAGAAGAAGAAGAAGAGAGGAACAGCTCCGTACAGAGCTTCTTAGTGTCCGCAGGGCATGTTACGGAATGGCCTATTGTTCTTGGGGAGGAATAAATCTCATAATCGTTTCCTCCCTTGTACGTTCGGTCACCGAAGAAGTGGATATCGGAGAAGTGTTTGTCCAGGAATTGCAGACAATAGGTTTTGTCCCATCCCGTTGGGAATACATCGAAGCTGATTTCCCCTCCTATAGGGAAGGAGAGATTCAAGTGTCCGAACTTCTCCTTGAGCACGATCACCATCTTGTCGCGCACTCCATGAATTTTGTCGTACTCTATGAATGCCTGCCTCTCCTCCCGCGTGCAGTTTCTCCCCACTGGCGACACATTTATGATCCCCGTCCTGAATTCCACAAATGTCCCTCTCTTGAACGGCATGTCTAGATCCGCCAAGTAATGCAGAATAAAGCTAATTAGTTCCTTGAGTTGATCTTCACCCATATGCAATTTCAAGTTCTGACAAGCCAGCGGTTTTCCGTCCTTGTACGCCACCAACCCATTCTCAGCAAAGACATAATCATAGTCGCTTGTTGTGTTCGGTCCCAGCTGTTCGCTGATCTTAACTAAGTCCGACCCTCCAAGAATTCCGACTTTAACAACTTTTCTCAACTCTTGAAGAAAGACGAGCATGTCAGGATCAGCCTCCTTGCGAGCAGGAGTCAAGGTGCCATCCACATCGAAGAGAGCAAGCACTGCAGCAGGGCGGGTAATCTCTCCCTCCCTCTCCATTCTCGCAGACTGCCTGTGCGGCGTTGCCCTCGCTCTCTTTCAAGTTGCTGTACCGACCAGCCACGCGAGCGCGAGTCTCTTGAGTCGTCGTCTCGACGTACGTTCGTCCGTTTAATCGATTGCTCACTTCTCATCAACTGCCAGTGGTCCAAAAAACGCACACAGAGAGAGGGAGAGAGAGAAAGAGAGGGGAGAAAACAGGCACAGATTTGCGAAGCCCATCAGTTGTCTTCTTCACATGAGAGAAAGACAGATCAGAGATTTTCCCGTCAGTTTTCTCTGCACACGAGCGGTCGATCGATCGACCGATCAATCGATCGATGGATCGATCGACAGAGAGAGAGAGGGGCGCAGACAGGAGAGAACAGAGATTTGCCCACCATTTTACTTCGCATGCAAGAGAGAGACAGACAGACACACACAGAGAGAGAGAGAGAGAGAGAGAGAGAGAGAGAGAGAGAGAGAGAGAGAGAGAGAGAGAGAGAGAGAGAGAGAGAGA